TACAATGTATTAACAATCATACCAACCATGTAATATTGGTTTTTTGTAAATAGGTTGTTTTTGTAATTTGCTCCAGGGAGAAAAAATCGCTAATTTTTTTAATAATATCAAACATATAGCATCGTTTTTTGCTCTTTAACCTTTGTTTAAAATAAGCTTTACAAATAATTCAAATTTGTTTTGCTTATAACTCTCCCTTTGCCTGATTTTGCATTATCCTTAATTTATGGACATGAGTGTAGTTTTTATGAAGATGGAGGAGTTATATGTTTGAGTTTTAAAGATCTAAATATAATTTATTAATATCATCAAAGATGGCTTTTTATTGACAATTAACCAAATTTTCACTTCATTGAAATAAAGTGCGGGAAGATGAAGTTTCATCTCAGAATGAAATTAATCATAGAATCAAGAAAATTCACTGAGATGGAATGGAATATCGTTGCTAAGATAATTATTTGTTGTTTTCTTGGTTTAAAAAAGTCTACGGGTGGAAAACAAGAGCTCAGCTTCAGAGGAAAAAGGCTTTAAATTCTGTATACGTTACGTGTTCCATTTATTCTGCAAAGTAGTTCAAATATTTTGAGTCACATCATATGCAAATAATTAGAAATATTATAAAAAATATTATAAAACGGCGTAATGAAACGGCGTTGCAAGTATTTTAATTGCAGAATAAATTATAATATTTAAATTCAGTGAAGTTCATTTTTGAATGAAACATTTAAAAAAGAACATATGCCACTGTTTTGGCTCAACTACAGCTGAGTTTTCTAAAAAAAAGTGAAAAAATTCGGAAATTACTTATCAGACTTTAGAAAAGATTTTGAAATCTAATAATTCAGCAATATTTCAGTACAATGTTTTCTGAATTTAAATCGGAAAAGGCATTTTGTTCTCAAGAATTTGTTTTTAATTGAACATTATTTCATCTCTTAGTAAGTGAAAAACTTATTAACCTTTAAAACGTATTCTTTGATATAATATTATTGTTGTTACGTTGGTGTTAATTTAATCAGACAAGGATTTTAAGTTCAAAGTTAAATTATAATTTTTAATACATAAGTGGAAAGCAAACTGAACTTCTATGAAATTAGAGTTTTGTAATCATCGCCTTTTAACTTACTTCTGATAAAGAAATAACAGTTTTATAACTATGCGTTTTAATCTATGAAGAATAAATTACAGAGATACTGTCAAAAACACTGCTATTTTTTTGTTGAAAATTACAAAATCCTTATTTCAATTTCTTAGTTGTGAAATTATATTTCTAAGAGAACGTTTTGTTTAAATTTCGCATTAAAATTCTTTTATTTGGTATATTATTTAAAATATAAAAGAATATTCCATGTTTATTTCCAAATTACGCATTTGCGTGAAAGAATGAAAACGAAAGAGTGATTTACATCCGAAAAAAGAAAACGTTTCGTTGAAGTATTACAAAATGTGTTCCCGTGTTTTGAAATTGCTGAAAGAGAACAAAATAAAACCAGTTTCACCTTTTATTCGAAATCATCATTAGATTTCATTAAGTAGCAATTCTCTTCACTTTGCTGGTATTAAAGGGTTATTTAAATTCCAAAAACGTCGTAATGTAAGTTTTTCACAAGACTATTGCAGTTATTTCCGAAATCGATATGTGTGATTTTGTACATAATCAGTGGTCTTGGGAGCATGTCGAAGTTTGGCTTACCACTGAAACTAGTTATAATCAAGCTATTGGTTAACGAGTATGATCATTTTGAATATATTTAATAACAATAATGTTTTATCGTTATGGATCGAAACAAAGAGAAGATGTGAAATTTATCTCTCAGTTATACAAAATTTTATCTCTCTTCCTCAGTTTAAAAGATGTCTCGAGAGTAAAGAAAAATATCTATTTTTGATGTCTTGCATTTCCAGTAGTAACTTTTCTATCGATTTTATTTAGGTTTATAGACATAATGTATAGTAATAATTCTGCCACATACAGCAAAGATTTATTCAATATTATAATGGATGCAATTTCAAAATGTTTATGCTAAAATTAAAAAACTAAAAGGTTACATCTAAAATAGACGAAACCTTTTCAGTTCTTACTTTTCACTCTTAGGTTTGCTATAGGATTAACGTAGTTCTTGATATTTCAAGATTTATTTAAGATACTAGTGAGCAAGGCCACCAAATGAGCGGGCTGCAGCCAAAGCAAAATTTTTAACTTCTATGTACCCCTGAGAAGCAAATGTATAGCAACATTTCAGTATTAATGTAATCAGTTCATTCTTTCCAAGCAGCAACCCATTCGTAAATAATTTTTATTGCCAAATCAGGAAACAAACACTTTTGATGCTTAATGTTACATGTTAATACGCATGATGTCATGATTTAAATTTAATGTAATATAGTAATATTATCTAAATAACAATAAAAAAATTAACATAGCATTTATTTATAGCGTAAAGTGTAATAGCCTGAAACAAAAAAAGTTGCCAACAGAAGCTATTGATTTTAAATTCTGACATTAATGAGACATTTTAGACATACAATGACGTCACATGAAATCGCATGCTTTCTTCAACGTCAGAATAGGACCTTGTATAATAATATGTTTAAAGTTTGGCAATGCTATTTTTATTTCATATTTTGTAAAACTTACAAATTTCGTTTTAACAAAGTCTACAATTTAAAAGCGAGCAGTGGCAACACTTTTCGAAATAAAGCAGATGTGTACTTCTAATGCGCGATACTTATGCCACTTCGAAACATGAGGGCGAAAATTACGTTTTTCCGGGGTTTTAATTAATATCCTGGCTAATTAAAGCCGTGCGAAGATGAGAATGGTCGAAATGGCTTCCCATGAATTTTTGGAATCCGAGGTCACCTCTCTCGAAGCCCAACCCGTTTTTATTTTACATTATTTTTAAAACTCAAGTTATTCAAAATCTACATGTGAACTATCATTATGCATTAAAAAATATACACTGTACCTGTATATCATGCGGGTTTTACTTCCGCAATTGTTGGTCTTAGATATGCACTTCCAACAAAATTTATTTTACAAAAAAAAAAAAAAAAAAAAAAATCTTTACAGTTTTGGAACTTTTCATAAAAGCTCTTCTCGCCTCTTTGGACGCAAGATCAAAGAGTACAATCAGTGCACTACAAGCTGCTAAGAACGTTAAACACAACACAATACAAAGCGCATCTAAAAGGCGAAGCTCTCAGCAATATCTCAATACTCTGAATTCAGCTCTGAACTAATAACTGAGAAAACCTGATGCTCTCTCCTGTCTTATACAGTTTTCTCTCGGCCACCGAGAAATCTCTAAAACCTTTCACTTCTCGAAAGTATTGTAAGGCCGGATAAGGATATCAGAGCCGGATACGGTTAGAGTTACATAAAGAGTAAATTAAAGTTATTCATTTAAGTACCACTTCCATTTATACAAGGACCGGAGCAAAATGTCGCGAAGTCTAGCGACTTTTGGAGATTTCTCCTCAAATTTGGTGAGAAAATTAGTCACCAAAGCGATCTCCACCTTGGCGATATCTCGCCAATTTAGCGAGACAGTCTTTTACTCAATGCTAAATAGACTTGAACCTGCATTCTTATTTTTCCAAAAAAGCATCAGCTCTTTCAAGCGTTTCATGTTACATTAAAAAAATATATTACAGTTTCACTAAACTTATATGCAAATATACGAATTTCGTAACAGAATGATATTTTTAATTTTTTAAAAGTCAATTTCGTAAAAATTATAAAGTTTAGCTTCACACATAATAAAGATCTAAATCTGTCAGAATTTTCTTGTGAGCGTCTGAAAGAAGGATTTTAAACTCCGAAACGATGAAATTTAATGTCCAGAACTTTTTATATTTATCAAAGTTTCTTCAACTCAAAGAAATCTTAGAACTCCAGCGACTATGTTCTTCAAATGGCTCGCTAACTTTAAATGTCTACGACCAATGGTTGGTTACATGATTTTTATGAACACAATGTTTATTTCTTAATATAGGATGATATTTTACGTGCACATTTAGTAAAGTTAACATTTTTCAAATTTACGGGACTGATAATTTTAATCTTTTTCCGACTTTAAAGCCATTTCCAGAAGGACTTCTAGAAACTTCATTTTAATAGTCTCTCGTTGCTTGCTTTTCAAAGCCTAGCAGCATGTGTTCTAGAGACCATAAATTCTGATTGGGGTTTGGAGGAAAAATCTGGGGATTTCTCTGCATCTCTAGACAGAGATATGACCTTGGGAGTTAATAATGAAGACAAAGAAGTGTTTCTATTTAATAGTATGTTTTTATGTAATATGTGTTTAGTTCCATGTAATGTACTACCATGATAAAGTTAAAGCATAAGCATTTTTAGTTATAATGCCATGTCTCAATTTAGAAAAATTTTAAAACATCATATCGCTTTGGACAAATTTTGTGTGAAACGAAGAGCTAATTTAGTTACAAGCAGAATCTAAGAAACAGAGAAAAGATTAAAGATGATAAAAGATAATTACGGAATGTTTTCATGGAAGGGGATTCGTCCTCCAAATAACATCATTTCTACCTTATCACTTTCCATTCGGACAGGGGTGATAAAATCAAATAATAATAATAATAATAATAATAATTAAATTTTATTCTGTTTTATGTGATAAATATCGTTTATTTGTTTATTTCCCCCATTTTTGTCTTAGATTTAATTTCCTTGTTCTGTGTTGTGCACAAGATGCTGCAGTGAATTTTGCTAAAGTTAACACGTTTCAAAATTACTGGACTGATAATTTTAATCTTTTTTCGACTTCAGAGACACTCACAGCTTAGTATACAAATGGCCAACAGCTGACCTGCCATCTAAGAGAAAAAATTTTAATATTTTATAAAACTTGAACACTTTAATTATTTGCTTAAATGTAACAATAGCATTTGTATTATATGTTTATCTGAAAGTGTGACAAACTTTTTCAAAAATCCTGTATGTTTTCAAGGTGGATAAAAAAAGGATCTCGCAGAATGCACAATCATTTATTAAACTTGTTCAAGTTGAAATTAATATTTAATGATTTCACAGAACAATAGGCTAAAAACATTTCTCCATATAATGATAAAAAAACATGATGAATGTCTGAAAATTTTGTGTTCTTCAGTGACATTAAAAAGATTCAGTCACAGTTAGAAGTTATTTTTAGTCTTTCCATTAACGTCGTGTCATTCGTTGCTCCTGAAAAATAAACAGTGGTCATTTTTCAATTTAGAAAAGATGTTTCTTTTATAATTAACTACATTCAACGTAATTTAAGAATCGCGTGAGAAAGAATTCCAGCTGATGGAGTATATTAAAACAGAGTTGAATGCTGAACAAATTTGAGTTTTAAATGTTATGCAAATAAAAATTTATATTTTGTGACAAATAATAATTAAATGCGGTTTTAACTAAATATAAATATTTAAGAAAAGTAAGTTCTTCCTGTTTTAGGACAGAACATTATTTCATATTTAGTAAAAATATTAGACCATTTGTACGTTCTCAGATATGTAAAATTTAAAAATTATTGAAATATAGCGCGTAAAATATACAACCCTTATTTTGAGAGGTTAAAAATTCTAATTATCAAAGAGTTTTCTTTTCTCTGCGGTCCATATAACAGACATAACGAGTTTCAACGAAATCGGTCTGGCAGAAAGGGCTCTACGTAAGTCTAAATAAGATATCTTTAATTATAACCTTTCGTTATATAAAATAAAAGTTAAATAAATAGTTATTACACTCATGCAGTTATTTCGTACTTGATAAATTGTACTTACACCCTAAAATTAGTAAAAGAGCAGGAAAAAACATTGTTTCTTAAAAATAAATCATTTCACTACAAATAATTTATGCAAAGAAGAAAATCATTTCGACACAGAGGGAGTATAATTAATGCAAATGAAATTATACTAACGCGATGACAGGGCAGAGCATCATCTTCGGAAAAACCAAGGATGTAGGCTTTTTTAATCCTGAAACAAAATAATAAGAAGAAGAAGAAGTATAATAAGAAGCACTACTAAGATAATTCTGCATATAGATAGACTGTTCGTATCATTTTGCATGAAGCAAGTGCACAGAAAATATTACTATTACTGGACTATAGAAACTAAGTTCATACGGGAGACTAATGCATCTAACAACAGAGAGAACGATACCGCTGTAATCCTTCTCTAATAATGACGCAAAAAATACGATTCAGACATTTTTTAGTCTCATGCGATATGGAACCCACATAAAAAATTTCGATAGAAAAATAGGCTAATTCTCTCTCATTCTATCAGCAACAATGGCACGCAGTTTTAAAGGATTTTCGTCATTCTAATCGAATGGTCGTAAAGGCTCAAGTTCCATCCAATATTTCACCTACATTCAATTTTAGTCGATTGAATGTGGCAAAACAAATATCATAATTGATCAGAAATCAATAACGCGAACAAACAAACACATACAGACGTTTTTCTTTATATGCATAGATTTTGTAAAACTTACAAATTTTTGATTAACAAACTTTACGATTTAAAAACGAGCAGTAGCAACACTTTTCGAAATAAAGCATTTTTAACTCCAAAGCGCAACATTGTTGCGACTCAGAAAAATGAGTGCGAAAATGAGCGCTTTCAGAGTTTTTAATTAATATTTCGGCTGATTAAAGTCTTACGAAGGTGGAAATAGACGAAATGGCTTCCCATCAATTTTTGGAATCAGGAATAATGTATTTAATGTTTGGCAAAGCTATTTTTGTTTCATCGTAAAACTTAGAAAATTTTTATTAACAAACTCTAGGAAACAAACATTCTCAAGTCAAAAAACAAACAAACAAACAATAATAATAATAATAATAATAAACAATCAACAAATTATCTAATATCATTATTCATAGTTACTTAATACGAAAAACAGAGCACCAAAATTATTATTTTTTATTTAAATAGAACATAATCTATTTGTAATGATATAATCAGCCTTAGAAATTAATCCTTATCTAGGCAATAATTTTATTTAATTATAGTATAAAGGTCCTCCTGATTAACAAATTTCAGTTGGAAATACAATTATTCTCAAAAACTAAGAAATGAAAAACAAACAAATAATATAACAATAACAATAAGCTTATTAAAGAAATAATCCTTAACTGAGAATGTAACTCTTTTTGAAAGACAGGTCAAGCATAAGAATTAGAAGTGTGGCACGTGTTTTACTGCGTGTGCGTTTCTAAATTGAGCGCAATGAGCGCAAAATAAAGAATTTGTATAATTTTTAATATGGTGATGGCCAAAAACCTGGCGTAACATAAGCCATAACATCTTAAATTCGAATGCATTTACGAAAACTACACGAATATAATCCAACATAAACGCGACCCTTACGGCCCGTAATGTCAAAGACTGTTTGTCTCTATGTAGAATGAAATTCTTACTATTGTCTGTATATTTAAAGATCGCGACAAAATTTAAATTTAAATTAGTATCTCTCGGCAAGAGCGCCTTAAGAGCATCTCCGATTGCAGCTTCAGTCACATTAATAGGAACTCCAAATAAAATAATTCAATCCATATGCGATCAGTGTACTCGTACCGAAATATTGCCGTCTGGAGAAGATGATATCAAATCTTTAAGTTGTTCATGATGCTCCTGCGTATCCTAACCTATCAGAAGATCCTTCAAACGAGTTAAGGCATATTCATAATGCGAATTTCTGTATTTGAAGTATCAAATTTTAGCTAACTTAGATAGAAAATAAACCAAAGTATTGACTAGTTGCGATGAGGAGACAATAATAACATTGTCTAAATGACGTTTAGAAAAATTACTAATCATAGACAAATTATCCTTAAACGCAACCTTTTTGATCTCTTCCGTCAAAGAAACTTCCTTTATTGGGATAAGTGTCTGTGAAATTTTATCTTTTCTGCCTGTGTACGTCTAAGCCTCTTTAATTTTATTAATGGACTGTGAGTCCATATATGCAGAATCAGTTTGAACGCAAGCGTCTGAGATCGCTATCGATTTGTTTGAGAAAATTTATCTTCCCAAGGTATCGAAATGGAATCGGTATTTCTCGTTTGATCATTTAGATCATCTGCCTCAAAGGTTCTCCCTTCAACAAGTTGTTTAAAATCCATTAAAGAATGTAGCATAGGTTCCGTTTCCTATGCTACATTCTTTAACGGATCTCATTAGATCAGCTTGTGATTAGATCAGCTTTGTCTTTAGTCTCATTAGATAAGCTCGCGAGCGGATAACCTCAAAATTGCTTTCGAGTGTTGATTTTAGGTTTTCCAAAGGTCATTTTAGTATCTTTCCCGGATAATTTTACAATTTCTTGATGTTGAAGTTTGGAATGAAAATAAGCAAAATCGGCTAAATCCGTTTGGACAGCACTTTCAGTCATGATAAAGGCAACGGAAATGAACCCCAAAGAATCAATTTACAAAAGAATTAATTCGATTTCAACGCGAAACATTAGAGTCTATTGAGTTATCCAAGAAAGAACCACAACCGTTTAATTTCTAATATTATATGAATATTAAAATACTACGAAGGTATAATTTAGTTAAATAGAAGTGGCAACTTGATACATTAAGAGGGATTGTTTGTCACCAATCCATTTCTAAAATGCTGCAAATGGATTGGCGACAAACCAGGGCAATAAAGGAGCCGATACGGGATACACTTATTCTTTTAAAACAGGTTAAAAGCAGTTAGAGAAAATGTGAAAACCAGCTAAACAAGGACCTAATGGAAATTAGTTAATTAAAGACCGCAATTAGACAAATAAATTAAGTAAAAAAACTACTAGGTTAAAAAAGGCGCGATTAAACTGTATCGCCAATCTTATAGACAAACGAAATAAGGAAAATAATTCGTTAAAATGTAAATAAACGTAAATTAGTACAAAAATTGTTATTAAACTAAACTATGCACAGAATAGAACTATAATAATGTAAATAGAACGAGATAAATGCTAAAATTTTGTAAATGAAAATATGTAAACAAACATGGTAATTCTGGAATTGTATGGCCACGAACAAATGGCATACTATTGGTACCGCTGGATTCTAATTTAAATTTCACACATATTTCAATCGTGCATCATGTGTATCAGGTGCACTGCAAATTATAAAAATAATGTGTAAACGAAAATGAAGAAACACTTTTTGCACTATGGAACTATGGAACTAATTATCACTGGTATATAAAATCCGTATCGCTCTGTTCAGTAAATTAAAAAACACAAAAAATAAACTTGCAGGATTCCGATAGGCTTCTTCAAGTTGAAGAAAAAAGAAAATAATTCACGAATTGTGCAAAACACCACTATGAAATCAAATCCGATGGCACACTTTTTTCTTCATAGCTACGGTACTAATAATCACAGATAAATAAAACTGGTATCGTTGTAAACAGTAGAAAAAACACACAAATAACAAAGCTGCAGCTTCTTGATGTAAGAATTTCTACAAGATGAAATTGAAGAAAAAGTTTGTAGCACTTCAAGAAACACGACACTTGAATCGCATAAGATACACGATGTTGGATTCAAATGATTATGTAATAGCATTATTAAAATCTGTAAAGCTTATTTAACAAAATCCTAATTTTCTGCTAGTTAATTCGAATATTTTCCACATCAAAAACTTCTAAACAAACTTAAAGTTGTTGAAATCGAAAATGTAAACAAAGCAATAGTGTATAGGACAGTGATACACGAAGCAACACGTCTAGGTACAGAATCTATGAGACTGCGGATGGTGTCCTGGAAAATAACTCTCTATTCCCTGTTAACCATTTGCCACAGGTCGTCGTCTGAACGCGGCAATTGCAGGGTCTGCAAGTGGCGTCGAATCACATCCCAAATGTGTTCAATTGGTGAGAGATCAAGAGAGAACGGTGGCCAGGGAAACATCTGTACACCTTGCAGAACACGTTGATGCGAGCAGTATGTGTTCGGAAGCTATCCTGCTAATAAAGGGCATTGGGTACTCCATGAAGGTAGAGAACTGTCGCCGGCCTCAGCACAACATCCACGTATCGTCATAGTGCCCTGAATACCAACTAGAGGTGACCTAGAATTGTACGCAATTGCGCCCCAAACAGTGAAGCCGCGTTGTCGAGCTGTGGTGCGTTTAAAATTTTCTGCCGGATTGGACTTGTCTCCACATCGACGCCACACTCATACGCGGTGGCTGTCATTGGAGAAGCAGAAGCATGACTCATCTGAGAACACGACTCATGTGCCATTCCTTCGTACACATCGCTCAAGCCCGGCACCAAATGCAGACGCTAGCGTCTATGATGTACGGTCAATTGCAGTCTTCTTAGCGGACCGCCACGACTGCAGATCGCTAGCCACCAATCGATGGCAAATAGTTCTGGTCGATATGGGAACATCCAGGATGTCTTGAACATGCTGCAGGATGGAGGTAGAAGTGGCTTGGGGATGCGCCGCTACTTGTCGGCGGATGCGTCGATCCACGCGTGCTGACGTTCCTCTGGCTGAACCGGCACCCCCTCGAATTTGCCACATTTCATTGTTCCAACCATCGTCGCCACAGCTGGTGCACTGTGGATGCGTCCAGGTATGTGTCAGCTGAGATTTGTAGTATGGATCAACCTGCCCTTTTCAGCCCTATCGTAAAATCGTCTGCCTTCTGGAACTGCCTCCGTTGACGACGGCCTGGCATTCTTTGCTATTACACGTATCCTCTGAGAAAAGAACAAATTTTCTACGATGATTTCCTTAGCAGAAATAACGACAGGAAAATTGAACATTCTGCAGGTTCCTTCCCTTATATCGTCTTCAATGTGCGCTGGAGAGCTGCGCATTTCTCATCATTCGCATAATTCTGTGACGTGCGTCTACCCTGAAATTTGCATAATTTATGGGCCATTCCTTGTTGGTGTTGCATTTTTAATATCGGGTAGTGTAGAAAATCAAATCTACAAGTTTATGAAAGTTTGTATGAAAATAGTTCTAAGTTGGTTACAAATGTGAAAACATGTATAAATTCGGAAATTCGGTCACTAGTATTAAATTTTCTTAATCTAATCGCGGCCGAATGCAGCCCTCGGCTGAGCACTTGAAGCATCCTGCCCTGGGGGTAGGGCACTTAGATTTCAGGTAATATGTTCACTACATGGTTATTCGTCAGGTAATGTGTTCACTACATGGCTGTTTTTCAGGTAATATGTTCACTATATGGTTATACTTCAGGTAATATGTTCACTATGGGGTAATGACTGTCATTACCATATAGTTATTACCAGATATTGCTGGCTTGAATCAAAAACATTTTGAATTACTTAACATACAAATAAATTGGTGAGAAATTTAATGAACTTACGGTTGGCAACAGCATAATAAGCGTACGATGATGACCAATGTTACAATTGCTATGAGAAGTACTACATACATCTTCCAGGAATCATCAATATCTGCAATGAACATTTGAGAACAACTTAAAAAAGCATAAGTAATTCATCTGATCATATATGATAAAACACATTTAGGTAAGATACCTTAAAATATAAATTAAGGGCATTAATGTTTCCACTAAAGAAATAGTTACGTGTATAAGAAATTTTCTCCTCTTGTACCTTCGTGGGATAATTAGCACGTCCAGCCAGTAATCGAAAAAGTGGGAGTCCGGATCCCGGTGAAAATATAATTAGGTTAGTTAACTACACTTTAAAAGCACTTTTAAAGCTGTTAAAAAATGTTTTTTAGCTTTCGAGCTTTTTTGGTGACTGAAACTAAAATCGCGGGAGTGCTAAAAATGATGGATTTTAAATCCAAATTGTAAGACAAATTGAAATTAATGTAACGTAATTTTGTATATATACCATTCATATCCAAAACAACAATTAAGCTTTACAGCTCTGTCAGTTTGTCCAATTATTCCTCTCTTGGCTCGTCCTAAATTACCAAGAATATCGTCATAGTTAACAAAAGTACTTTGGGAGAATTTAACTAAAATTCTATGAAATTTCAATTCTTTTCACATTTTTTATTTTACGTAATTTACAGAAACGGAAAAATAAAATTGCGGTTCTGCATACGACATGTGGACGACACATTTGACTTTCAGACAAGCCTACGAATGATCTCCCAGGCTTACTTCCTGCGATGAATACTTTAGACGGAGACACGCAATATACTCTTGAAGTCCAAGATTTGAAGAGTAACTCTTTTCTTTCTTGGATGTAATGATTCTGAAATCGGATAACCAATTTTATATGACTCTTTTCGTTAACCGTTGATTCTACCTGATACTAGAGGAGATTATCAGAGTACAGATCTCAGCTAGTAGAATGTACGATCTGTTGAAATGTTGAAAATGGCAACAAACGTTCGCGTCGGTTTCGGTGTTTGAAAACGAATTAACTTCCAGTGTAAATAATAAACACGTAATAAGTAAAATTTGATTTTATGGTATTAACCTGCTGATTCGTTTTCGAATACCTTCGACGGAATATCAAATGATTTATCATGTCTATCGTTTCATAATCTTCGACAGTAGCTTAAGGACCAGTTGTAGTTCTTAATCGACGAGATATCATGTCTTTTATTTTGTCAGTACTTGTAATTGTATTACCACAAGATTGTATAATAAAAGTTCCGCGTTCAATTTTGCACTGTCTTTCGCAATAAGCATCAACAAAGATGAAAACTGTCCTATTGTTATTATTAATGCCTTGAGGTCAGCCATTATGCTTCATGAAAAGCAGTTTAATTAGTTAAGCGCATTTAGAATGTGACAGTGAAATGCAATAGTTCCATAAAACAAGGCTTAAAACAAACCGGCTTATAAAAATAAAAAAAAAACTTAAGTAAGAACAGCTGTAAGAATGTTTCAAGGGCTTTCAGGTTGCCCAGCAAAACCATTCATCCATGGAGACATTTCTATTACTAAATGTTTAACTGTTGATCATTTAAAGATAGAGTAAAATTAGTGTTCTTAGTTAATTTATCCTATAAAGTGCCTTTGTTATTATTAATTTAGCCAATTATTTTAAAGAAATATTTTAAAATGTCAATCTTAGGCGCAATGATAATGATGTTACAGGTAGAAAAAGAAAGTAAATAGATTCACGGACCATTGCAGATTCCATGCTTTTCTTCAAATCCCTTAGGACAGATGCAGAATTTCTGGACTTCATTTCCTCTTCTATCAAAAGTGCAGTTGGAATCTTTGCCACAATTACAAGCTGTGGAAAAAAAAAAGTTCAATTCAGAGAAAGAAACTGAAAGGTAAATTTCAATTACATAATTTTTTTCATTAAAGTCAAATGGGTATTTTATTTGCATAATAATAAACGATTGTTTGTAAAATAACAGTTGTGTTATCTGTAATGCTGCGTTCAATTCTAATATCAGAGAAGAATTTGAGTGTGTTTTTGCTGCAATGTGAGGGAGCACGTTATAAAATAATATATGCGTCAGTGTGCTTAAGATTACATATTTCGAGAAATTTTATATGTATTCGCGTATAACGCGCACTCTTTTCTTTACGAAAACACCTGAAAGATACATGTGCGATGCTCTTTTCTTATCTTGTTGCAGCAAGGATGTCTAGTGCTGGTGAAAGCTCCATACGCAAGTGGAAGAAAAATTAAATCACAATAATTAATATGCCAAAGAATAAATGTGCTTTGCTTAAAGGAGCAACGAAATGGCCTATTCTGGTAGAGAGTGTTGCGGGCTGCGTCCTAGAAAATCGTCCGAATGAATTAATTGAAACAAGAAACAGCGTATGTTGATGTGCCTTAAAGTGAGCAAAGAAAAGAATGCAAATGAAAGTGAAAACTTTGAGTGGGTGTAGTTGATTTATGACACGGAATAATTTAGCTCTAAGCGAAAAAACAAGTTTCGCAAGGGCTTTCGAAAGATTTGAGCAAGAGATTAAGAACTCAGTTTCCAGAAGTATGTTATTGACCTACGAAGGCAAAAAAAAAAAAAAAAAAAAAAAAAAAATTATTTGTTGTCCCATATTGCAAATATGCGTGAAACTCCACTAATGTTTTATATAACAGAAAATGAAAAAAATGACGCGAAAAAAATAAAAACGGTTCACATAAAACAACAGGTAACAAAATATTTTACCTTACCATAGTGCTTCACTACTTAGCGCACGGTATAAAATTAAAACCCTTGGTTTTTTAAAAGAAAGACGATGCCGAAATGTAATTTCTCAAATGGTGTTTCCATTCATGTTTTCAAGAAAGGATGAATGGACGAAAACTGTGTGAAAATGTGCATAAGGAATATTGCTGAGTGTAATACATAAGCATGGCAGTTATTCCAGGTGGATTAACGCTATTAGTTACGGATCAATAAACCATTCAAAGAAACTTTAAAACGACAATAGAATACGCGGATGTTAGAAGGTGAAAAAATATTTACAAAAGAAGGCTAAAATATATTTACAAAAGGAGGCATTCTAAAAATATTCTGTGAGAGAATAATAAAAGCGTGGAGTGAAATTAAAACCGACATAATTGAAAGGTTATTTAAAAATGTAGTATATCTAACAATCTAGACGAAATGAAAGATGATTATTTATTTATGGATCAGAATAACAGTTATGGTGAAGATGAAATAGAATTTGATGTTTCACCTGAAGATATAACGGAAGGCGAAAATAATGAGCTTTTCATGTTATCCGATATGAAAATTTTCAGGTTCGTAAGGTTTGTCATTTTTCTAAATAAACAGCATTTAAGTGCATGTAGGAATCTAATTTTTGCGTGTTCATCTTTTCTTATTTTTAAATCTATCATTTCTATACCCAGTGTAAAACGCTCACCCGTACATTTCGATCTTATCGTTTAAATAAAATTACGCGTTATACACCGGAATACGTGTTATTTATTTTATGTTTTGCGTAAACTTGCTAAATTTTTAATTACCAAATTCAGCAATTTAAAAACAAAGTGTTCCCATTCGGCAAAGCATATGATATTTATTCTTCAAATTTAATCAGAAAACTCAGTGATTTAAAAGGAATGTATAGCCACTAGGCAAACTGCAACAAGACAAAAACTGATAGGAAAAAATAACAGAAAATTAAAAAGTGAAAAATGGATCATGTAGATACTCAGAATATTAAAAAATAGAATGCATATAGCCATATAGAGTAAGTGTAAATAATGCGAAAACATAAGAACGAAATTACTCAACAACATCTAAAATTTTATGAGGTTCTACTCAAAAATAACCTTCATCCGAATAGAAAGCATTAAGGCTCCTCTAAACCAGGCTGAATCACCAACTTTTCTCTCTTGGCGAGGGAGTGAACGCGCTGCCAATTTTGGCGCGTTTATCTCACACGCTGGCTGAATGTCTGCTGTTTTTTTAAAGATTTATTTTATAGACGCGCGGCATTCAGCATATAAACTTTTCGGATAATTTATTAATTCTCGAATAGTATATAGACGTTTTCACTTAAATAAAAATTTCGCGTATATTTTGTAAACATATTCAAAATAACTTATTCTTTAGATGTTTCAGTTTCGTTAGCAGACTAAAATAAATAAGATATGAATAAAAACTTTCAATAGTGTCAAATGGGGAAATAATTAAAGCGTAGAGTGTGCAAATAATTTATCTTAATGACATTTTAACAAAAATTTCCATAAAAACACTGTAAATTCATACTAAAAAAATAACTTAAGAATATGTTGTCATTTAAGTCTGAGGTATATGGAAATAATTGTGCAAGATTCTGAAGAAACACTTTCTTTTAAATGTGTGAAATATTTCATAACATATATGGAAGAAGAAAGTACAGCATTCTGTGTTTTGGATGCTTTTTATCAAATGTAATATAAATACGAACTAGAAACCGTAATAAAAAGTCCTTCCTCTTCAATCAGATCACCTTTGTGTTGCATTGTATTTGTAATACTTCTAAAAATCCAATTTTTACCTAAATTAAAAAACAGTTATTCCATAAAAGATAATAACTTTGAATGTATATAGAATGAATTTTGTAATTTGAGTTATGTTACAATAACTCAAATACAATAACTGCATAGTTTATACAATAACTGCATAGTTTATACAATGCTGCATAGTTACAATAACTGCATAGTTTATATATTTTATACTAATAATTTAAATAAAACCTGTCCAATTTAAGAATGTGTGTTAACCACATTCTTAAATTGTAAAAGGACGACTTAACCACATGTAATTCATTTCAAAGCATAAAAGAAAGCTTATTTTTTATTTACACAGCAACAGCATTTTCATGCAGTCAAGTTTTTTAACTGCTAGTTATTATACATAATACTTAATTTTAAACCCATTCTTATTAGAAAGCATAACTAAGAAACTTCTTTTAAAGCACCACAGTGATTGCAAAGAATGTCGTTAAATTTACAAAAGTATTGAAGATATATTGAACAGCATTATAACAAGAAAGTACTGTACAAAATATGTAAATTTAGTATTTGTGCATAATTTGTGCTTATTATTACTTTTTTAGTATTTGTATTTTTTAGTATTTGTGCATAGTTTCCTCCAAATGAACCTTAATGGGAAAGTTATCTTGCGAAAAATTTAAAAAGTATTAAAATGGCCTCTATTTAAGATGTAACTGCAATTTATAATTACTTTGTAATTGTGAATAGATTATATTATTGCAATTAGATTATGCACTTACAACATAATTGCATAAAGTAATGAAATTAAGAGTTCACAGATACAATGTAATATAATTACAATGCAATTACCTAAATTGTAATTATAATCACTTATTTAATACCACAATATTATTACAATCACAATGTAATTTAAATTGGGTACTATATTTGCATACCCTCCACTCAAAAGGAGGTACTGATAAGCCTGGAAGTTATTATCAACAAAAAGCGTGTTCAGGACAGTTTGCTATGACAATTTCCACCGGGCGAAAAGTACATTCTTCTTAAGCCCAGGCAAATCATGACAATAAAAATCATTTAGTCTCATGATTCATGATTATATTTTTTACTATATTTTTGATGTAAACCACACAGCCTAAATTTGAATTCTGCAACCAAAATTATTTACCTATATTTTAACATACTTTATGAATTATTAGAAGCGATATGGCAAAAAATATCATTCTAAAAATAACTGTAAAATATTTGTATCCATTAATTGATTCAGATACAACACTTTTATTATTTAAGTATATCAAATAACAGTTTCATGTTCCTGAAATACAAAACTTATGGAAAAAGTTAAAGTAATATTCTTAGAAGCATATGATATTAGTCACCAGATGCAAAATTATAGTTAATTTTTTGCTCTAAATACAATTTTATTACACAGTAGTCAAATGTGTAACTTAATAACATGTTATATAAAAAATTAATGATAATAAGTTTATCAGAAATGAATTAATTCTGCAAATAAACTTTCTGCACTTGAAAATTTTCTACACCTGAGGGGAGGGAGAGATCTAGTAAAATTAGATTTATTATAACTTCAGTTGGACCAAACACCTTCTCTCTATATATATGCATCACTAAAGAAATAAATAAAAATTATCATGCTTAAAAAACAGATATACCATACCGGTTTTTTTTTTTCCCCTTGTTACCCTTTACATTGAGAAATAACAAACACTGAAAAATACTATCCTTGAAATTTTGTTTAAATGAAGAAACACACACCATCTTTTATTTAAGCATTACACTTTCAAAAACAGATACACATACCAATTTATATTTTCACTAGCCTTTATACTGAAAAATGAACATGCCATATAAAAATGAAAGAGATTCCTTGAAATTTAGATAAAATGAAGAAACACATACCATCTTTTATTCATGCATTACTAAAATGAATAAAACGATTATTCTTCAAAAACAGGATACACATAATATACAGGATACACATTCTGACACATATTCATGAAGATTCACTGAAACAGCACAATCATCCAGTACTATAATATAACAAAATGGAAAAATTTATGCACGATGGACATCTTTTTTCTATTGCATGTTGTCTGACATGATCCACAAGTGCCTAAAAAATGTACCCAAAGAAACGCATTTCAATATTAACAAAAAATTGTTTACAGATTAAAATTCATTCATTTCATACCAGTATTATAAAGATCATGCATGAAAACAAATCTGCTTTCCCATACTTTTAAGTAAAACTTTTATACTGGAAAATAGACTATATTTCTATATATTAGAAACAAGAAAATACTAATTTGAATGTTCTGCATTCATTTCTAAATCTTTACTCCATTGCCAAATTGTATAATACTGTGATTATAAATAAACTTGCACAATCCTTGCAATTATTGAAGTCAGATTATATATATTTGTCTCACACTATTCAATTTATTCTATTGACTTCAGATGTCAATGTCAAAATTCTGGAAGTTATTTTAACCAAGAAAACAGTAGTGGGCACCGTGCATAAACAACTCATCTAACTTTTTAACAATAGTGATTATAAAATAAAGAAAAAAATTACATATCATTCCAACGATATTGCAACTATAGTATAATGTTACATATATCTTTAGCAAACATTCAGATTTTATCTTGACTTTCCAAATTATTATTTATTTTTTAATAAATTTCAATATGCTAATGATTTTCATGTTACATTACTATAAATTCCACAATTAGCACAGGAAAGCAAAATCCGCGCTTTATATTAGAAGAGAAATTTCTTTTCCACATTCAAAACATCTACATTGGCGATGTTTGGCGACGGGTACATTAACCCTAGACTAATTTAATTATAGCTATTATTACAGAAATTAGCAGATACTCAGGTTATTGTACACAAGAATTTCACTTTACTTGCACATTATAAAACATCAGAGAAGATATAAACTCTAAATGAAGGCGTAATTAACATTATACTTACTAAGCAAAGTTCAGCACCTGGACCAGGTTTCCAATTGTCTCTTCGGCAATTATTTACCCATATTTTCTTCTTTCTTCATTTTTAGGAAATTTTACCAATGTATGACCTTTCCGTGAATGATTTAAACAATTAATAGCTGTACATCCGCCCATTTTACACAAAAAAAAAAAACAAAAAATTGTTGCACCGTAACTACACAGCCGCCATTAAATCTCCCACTTGGGAGCGCGAATGCCTGATGATTCAGCCTGGTATATAGGAGCCTTAGAAAGCATTCATTATAAATGTTTTTAAAACTATCCTCCCGCCGTCTGGAATCAGTTTGACAGTTTTTATCAAGTATCAACCACAATGTATGGAGCTCAAAATATTTTGCAAGCTTTGTTCAGAAAATAAAGGATTAAAGTTTTATATGATAAAAAATAAAGGAATGAATATTTTACATGTCAGAAATAAAGGAATGAAGAATTTCATAGCTGGAAGGGATGCGGGAAATAATGAACTAATATTTTATATAGCAAAAAACTAAAGGATATAACGTTTGATATAATGTGAACTACGATAATGAACTTGGAAAGAATTTCATCCCTCAATTGATTCTTTTGTTAAGGAAAATTAACTGCAGTTTTTGGCAGAACCAGCACAAAATTTACCTTTGCAAACACCCTCCGCATACAGTCCAAATTCTGAATGGCAGTTGCAAGAATAGGCATCTGTAGCAACATCTCTTCGGCACCATCCATTTTCGCATTTGCATTCTGAAAATGTAGATTTCTAAGCTTTAACACAAGAAGATAGAGCATGTTAATATACAATCAACCCCGAAGGTTGCATGCAGACAAACAAGAATGATATAGAAATGCAGGGTCGAAAATACCATTTTCAAAACAGAGATGGCGTTGTTTGGCCGCAAGACTGCTCTTAAGGGGCTATCACATCTAGCAGTATTCCCTGCTAGACGGAACATTTCTGAAAAACGAGATTCTACTAGCAGCTAGGCAGCTGTAGCTAGGAATCCCTCCTAGCTACGACCGGCTACGTACCGGCTACGTGGGATTTTTTGAAACCTCGCCGAAAATGTTTCGACTGCAGCTCTGTCTCGGGTAGAGATCAACCAATCTGCTTCTGAAGGATCACGTGATCCCAATCTGAGCGATAATCGATTACTTTTTTAGCGTTCAAGTTTTTGTATAGTAAGTGTAAATACTAACCTAGCTACGTAGGTTTCGTGGAAATGTGCGGGTCTGAGAATTGTCCCTTTCGACGTCCAGTCCCTCATAGCGGAAACATATGTGATTAGGACTTTGCGATTTCCATGCGGTTTCTGTTACTTCTAAATCTCTCGCTGACTTCCGCGATTACAGCAAATAAATGGCGTACATACCCTCGTTCAAGGTAATCAGGAGCTTGTAGCGCACCTCTCTGTAACCGCCACCTTCGAGTAACATGTAAGGTCGTTACGCCTTGGTATTCCGAATCATAGCAGGAGTTTTACACAAGGTATGCGATTCTATGAACCCGCGATGTAATACGTCTGTTAAATTACACTCTCGTTACATCTATAATCTCAATGCATTTCGAAAATGCGTTGAGAGTTATAAAAGGCATTTTGCTGTTTTACGCGCTTCTCCTTCAGTTCTTTTATCGTTTGTACACTAATAATGGAAAATGATCTTTCCAAATTTCCTTTACTGTATGATTCCGATCTGTGTTTGTGCAACCTACCTTTGTCCCCGCTTAGCTGAATCATTTTGTCGAAAGATCCACGCATCCTAAAAAAAACGAATTCTATATTTATCACAGATTATTTACATTTTGAACAGAACAGAAGACAATTTTTACCCCTTTCACATCTGTCTCCTGAGAAAGCATCTAAACAATGACAAATTACTCTTTTGGCTTTTATTTTACACGGCCCACCATTTTTACAAGGATTAGAATCACAGGGATCTATATAGCAAAAAGAAACTTTGAGTAGCTTTTTCTTCTTTTGCATATATATCTATATAAACGAACATAGACTTGACTCATGTAATCACTTGACTCATATGAAAAATCACTTCATACCATTTTCACATTTCTCTCCTGAATAAGTATCCGGACAATCGCAGGCCACCTTTCTGCCTTTCATTTTGCAAATTCCACCATTTTTGCAAGGATTTGGAAAACAAAAGTCTGTAAACAAGAAAATCACGGGCCTGCAACTAAATTCTACATAAATACTGCCGTGTCTTTTTCGGAGTAAATTAAGAATAAATTCTTACCAGTTTCACACCTTTCTCCTGAATAAAGATCTGGGCAATAACAAACCGCTTTCTCGCCTCTTACCTTGCATGTACCACCATTCTTGCAAGGATCTGAAGAACATGGATCTATAACAAAAGAAAACATCTAAATCTTCAGAAGACAATATATACTACATTTTTTTCTGATGAGATCGAAAAAAATAAAATTTACCACTTTCGCACGTGTCTCCTGAGTAAGGATCTGGACAATTGCAAACTACTTTTCCATCTTTTATCTTGCACGTGCCGCCATTTTTACAAGGATCTGAAGTACAACGATCTAAAGGAATGGGAGGGTTCATTTTAAAGCCGGCTACAGACATATGTCGCAACTTTGTTTTTGGAATAAAAAGATAGTTACGTCTTACCTTTTTCGCATAAATCTCCCACAAAAGGATCCGGACAATAGCAAACAGCTTTTTCGTATTGTATTTTGCAAATCCCGCCGTTCTTACAAGGATTTGGAGTGCAAGCATCTATAGACAGAGAAAAATTACTTTAAAATTTTCTTACGAATTAAAGCTATATTTTTAACTTCAGAAATTGTCAAATTTCCTAATCCTTCGCATTTGTTTTGTCACAAGACAGGTTTCACGGCACAACAATAAACAATGCGTTTATACACACTGCGATTTTTAATGCTCTTAATTAAACAAATCTCGTTAAATGGTCTCGAGAAACCATTATAAAGTCTGTGGTTAAAACTTCTGACCTTCAAGGTCAGAGGTGATATTCTTTACGCTCCTGGTGTGTTCGTTCTTGTGCAATGAACGGGAACATCAAGTTTCTTAACATCTTCCTGCTTCTTCAGAATAGTGTAGATCGTCGATGTAGAAAGGCCGTAATAAGTCTTCGCCAATTCCTTCACTCTTACACCACGCTTATGTTTATCTATGATTTCTTTTTTAATTTCAACAGCCATGCCTTCCTTATTTTTCTTTGCAGCACTATCTAAGACAACAATCTACTTGGGAGGCATCTTGAAATAATTATTTTCACGTTAAATGTAATAAACAATTAACTCACAAACGCACAAACACGTAAATCAAAGAACACTGAATAATCTAACGAGGGGATTCTCCGAGTCCAGCAAAATCGGGAAATGGCGCCACGCATACTGACAGCCTGGCTCATTGCTCGTTACTCGAGTCAATCCTCGTATTTAGAGACAAATGTTTCGCTCATACTTTCCTCGTATCTCGAATTTCTCGTATATAGAAGTGATCGTATTTCGAGGCTCGTATTTCGCGTTATGTATGTATACATAACGCGTACACGCATAGGTATAAATTCAGTCTGATTATGTTTAAAAACCATTTTGCAGTCAGCTACTTTTTACTTCCTTGTACGAAGTAAAAAGGAAGTATTGTAATCGCGAAAAGTTTCAGGCAGCATATTTCAACGAAAATATCCATTCTGACTGCTATCGAATGCAATTTAACTATGTTTTTGCGTGATATCTGCACGTAAGGACAGAATAAAAGACTCTTTTCCTCCAAAAAAAAATTATAAAACTGCTTTAAAATAATTTCTGAAGAGAATTTTTCGTGGCGTCTGTACGAACGTATGTACGTACGTACGTATCTCGCATAACTGAAAAACGAGTAGCCTCAGAAATTTGAAATTTTGTATATAGGACTGATATAACATATAGATGTAAACTTCGTATTTTGCTTGCAATCGGCAGCACCAAACGTATGTAAATATATTTATATATACATCCACTGTGTTACCCGGTTCAGTGATCTCAGTTTCTTTACTCTTATATGTTTGTAAATTGTACATTTTTTGCTTTAAAATTGATTGAATTATGTTGTTCTTATCTTCCGATTAAGGTTTTTATGCCTTTCGTAAATCTGGAAGCAATATTTGTACAAATATCAAAAATTTAAGCATGCAATAATTTTGAAATTATCAAGCAATTTAAAAGTTTTTTACTTAGTTAAGTAAGTTAAGTACGTCTAAGCCTAATTTTTGAAATTAGCATGGCGGACATATTTGTTTACATCTGAAACAGCAGAATAGCAGATTTGTTGCCAATCTAGAGGGATAAAGCTTCGCAACAACAAAGATAACGCATTCATTTAATAGTGCGAATTAAATCATGCTTAATCCTTTCTGGAATTTTTTCGATGAAATAAATGTTTACGATTTACTTCTTAATTTTTAATGCAGATATTTTGAGTTTTTATGTATCTTTTTTTCCTTATTGCGAAGTGAGAACTGAATTATTGTTTGCTTAATTTCTTTTATACATCGTTCTAGCTTTATTATAGTATTTGAATAGAACATGTGGCATTCCGAAATTGGAATAATTCGCATTAATGATGTACCTTATGATACAGGTTCCACCATTCATGCAAGGGTTAGAACTGCAAGGATCTGCAAAGTGAGATAAGGTGTTTTGCAGGCATATATATACATAAAGTATGTATTTTGGACTTAAGACATAGAAAATAGGTTTCTTACCTTGATCGCATTTCTCTCCTGAGTAAGAATTTCGACAATCACAAACCACTTTTCCATTTTTTATCTTGCAGGTCCCACCATTTTTACAAGGATTAAAAATACAGGCATCTATAAATAAACGAAAGCTTTTATTTAAAATCATAAAATAATTAATAAACGGTTTCGATACAATTCGATTAATGGATTTCGTTATTTGGGCTCTAGAAATCGAAAAAGGGGGTTCTGCATCAGGAGGCTTGAAACGCGGCAGTGACGTCACACAGAAGGCATGGCTTAATACAATTTTTAGCAATTTAAATTATTTTAATTTCCTGCGTATATTTTCCGCATAAATTTTAATATACTTGCTATATTTTACGATCATAATTGATCATCCACATGATTTGATTTGACATAGTTTCGGAATATTCTAATATCATGCTTAGTTTTAAATCCCAATTACGTTTAAGTGTATTATAATTTTCATTTAATTTTATTCATTGTTTCATTCACTCATACTAAAATAATTCTTACAGCTTTTAATATTTAGTATATGCAACATTTCAATATTTCAGATTAATTTACACCACTCATGCCATTATCTATATATATATAAAGAGTGTGTGTGATTATGGCAAAGCCTCGAGGGCTATCTGCCTAAGGGGAGGGATGCCTTCGTGGAGGACTTTCTAAGGGAAACTGGCTCGTATACACGTTACACATGGGGAAAAGCACGAAAACACCCATGCAGCCAGCCCGTTCGTGGGATTCGAACCTTGGACCGAACTACCAGTGTTCAGCGACTTTACCGCTCGGCCGCTGGTGGGCCTATGTATATAAAGAAGAAGGTCTGTTTGTTTGTCCTCTAATAACTCAGTGACTACTATAGCTATCGTCACCAAACTTTCTACAATTATTTTCTGGGTCCTGGAAAAGGTCGACGTCCACGTATTTCCAAAAAAAAATGTAGATAAAATCATAGATATTAATCAAAAAATCTGAAGAACAATAAATTTCGCTCTCGTTTTTCCGAGTGGCAACAGGCTCGCAAGCTGGAGATGAAAATCTTTATTTCGGAAGTTGTTGCCACTGTTCGCTTTCAAATCGTATAGTTTGTTAATAAAAACTTTGTAAGTTTTACAAAATCTATATACATAAGGAAGAATTTATATTTGTGTGTTTGTTCACGTTATTAATTTCTGGTCAAATATGATACATTTTTTGTCACATTTAGTCGACTAAACTTGAATTAACCCATATTTTAGCAATGATCGAAGAAATTAAAATTTTTGTTTGAAATTTCTAATTTTGTTTTTTAAATAGGTAAGAAAAGATAATAAATTGAAAAACATACGAAACTTATTTTCTTTGAGTTTACAGGTTGTCCTATATACAGGACGATGGTCAAATCCAGTGCTGTGAAATTCCAAGGCATTATTTTCTTTCAAGCCCATTCTTTTGAATGGAATGGTGAAAAACAACTCGAACATTAGCCAATATTAGATTTTTTACAAATAGTTGTCGTTTTCCTGGTACAATTTTTTTAATTGACAGCGATGTTGACGTCCATCACGATTTTTGACAATCACATGGTGAGTTTGCATTTTCAAGAAGTCTGGATTTGTCTGCTGCGCACCTAATGAATGCGCCTTGAATGTTCCTAGTTATTGATAATCCCAAATAACTGATTGTTATAGCCCATCGATATTCTATAAGATCAAGAGCTTTGGTTTCGTTTATATATATTTTACAACCATGTCGACCGAAATAGCTCACCATTCTTTGATCAATGCTTAGATGTTCGGAAAATACACCTAATTGTTGTAAAGCATCATTCAGTAAATCATAAATTGGACGTACTTTGTAGATAGAGGTAATGGTGCTATTGTGAATGTACCGCTTGATTTCAAAATATCTATTTCGTGGCATTGCTCGACTCAATAGTATAGTTCCTGTGTCTGGCGCGTTTTCCCAGGACATTTTTTCAGGTAGACACTATAAAAAAAGTATACCTTAGAATTGCTTGAGTTCTTTTGTTTTGTCAGTGAAAAATTATGATTATTTGTCTGCCCAGCGTATCTGTTACAATCAATAACACCTTTGTCTATCATTTTTTTCAGCGACATACTCAAAGAGTTCTGTAGGAGATTTTCCAGAAACAAAATCAGTTAGAGACTGACTAGAATCTTGAGAAAATATTTCTGAAGCACGTGAATATTTAGAAATGCAATCTTTACAATCAAATTTTGCATCATCTTCATTTCCTACTAAAATTTCCACAGTTCCTGCAGTTTCTATAGTTCTTACTGCGTTTTCGTCACAAATAGCGTATGTGCATTTCGTCTTAGTGCAGACATTGTCTATTTCTTCATTGTCACTGACTACATCTGGATCAGGTGGTATTATTACCATTTCCGGCTCAGTATCTTCATCATCTAATGTCTTAAAATATTACAAAGCTTTTTCAGCTGTTTCATTTTGGATGCATAAAATAAATATACTTAGCGTATTCGGAAACTAAGTACCGTTTCATTCTAGCGCCGTCGCAGCGCTGTGGTAGGCGACCCTTGCATGCGCACTAGTCTTTCTTGTTCACTGACTTTCAATTGTCGTCATTTTGGTTGCTCTATGTTGTGTTTTCAGTTTGCTGTGCACATTCAAAATTTTAAGACAATTAGTTCTCCCGCTGACTGTGAGATTCGTGCCGTGATTAAATTTTTGAACGCGAGGAATGTTAAACCGGCCGAAATTTATCGTCAAGTGACAGAAGTTTACGGTGAATACGCGATAAGTGATGGAATGGTGAGAAAGTGGATAAGAATGTTTAAAGCAGGTCGAACAAATGTCTATGCCAAGGCTCGGAGTGGTCGGCCTTCTGTTGTCACCGATGATTTAGTGAGGAAAGTTGATGAAGCAATTCATGAGAACAGACGCTTCACAATGACAACTCTTTCAGAGGCATTTCCACAAATTTCACTTACTGTTTTGTTCGAAATTGTGTCTGACCGCTTGAATTATAGCAAACTGTGTTCCCGATGGGTTCCAAAAATGCTCACTGATGTTGACAAAACAAAGCGACTTGGTAGTGCCCTGACATTTCTCACGCGGTACAGTGATGAGGGAGAAAACGTTTTAAACCAATTTGTGACAGGTGATGAAACTTGGGTGTGTCATTTCACACCAGAATCTAAACAACAATCGATGGAGTGGAGACACACTCATTCTCCAAAAAAACAAAAGTTCAAAGTGACAATGTCATCACAAAAAATCATGTGCACTGTCTTCTGGGATAGGAAAGGCGTTTTGCTTACTGAATTTCTTCTTCCCAGAATTGAAACCATTAATGCGGCACGATATTGTGAGACTTTAACAAACTAAGGCGTGCCATTCAAAACAAACGAAGAGGAATGCTCAGTAAAGGAATTGTGTTGCTCCATGACAATGCTCGGCCCCATACTGCTGGTGTCACTCAATCGTTAATTCGACAGTTTCATTGGGAGCAGTTCGATCACCCGCCGTACAGCCCGGACTTGGCGCCGTCCGACTATCACTTGTTCCTGCACATGAAGCGCGAGCTTGGTGGCAAGCGCTTTGGATCTGACGATGACACGAAAAACGCTGTGGAGTTGTGGTTATCGAAACTGGCGGGAAGTTTCTTTGACGATGGTATACAAAAACTGGTCAACCGCTATGACAAGTGTTTGATCATTGGCGGAAACTATGTCGAAAAATAATTTAAGACATGTAAAAATAAAATTGGATTCGAAAAAATTGTTTTATTTTTTTTATTTTTTATTTATTTATTTATTTATTTATTTATTTATTTATTTTTTTTTTTTTTTTTTTTTCCAAAACGGTACTTAGTTTCCGAATACGCCTCGTACCTTACAAAATAAACATTCACAAAAGTAAATTTCTTTCATACAAATTAAACGTGTGAAACGGCTTTCAGATGCTAAATTTACTTCTTTACAAAATGAGATACAGTGCAGGAAACAATTGATTGCTACATTTTACACCGAGGAGATGAAACGGACGTAACTATTTCACTCCAAAACGATGTTATGTTTTAACGTCATATAATAGTGGATTTTACTGTTATCCTATATATAGGGCGCTCTAAAAATGAAAGCAAAATAAGGATCTATAATATATTTTTCTTTTGGATTTTTTGTCTTTCGCGTTAATGGAGACCTATTTTATTTAACATAAATTCAAAACTTTTTATTTTACCCTTTTTTCCTCTTTTTTAATCTGTTCAAAAAATAAAATGCAGAAAATCAAAATTAGTCCTTTTTGTATGTTTAAAAAAAAAAAAAAACAGGTTTATAAAAGTCAAAACTTAAAAGAAAATAGCTAATATAACAAACAGCTTTCTAGCAATAATATAATGTGAAAGAAATAGTTTAAACATTATTACTTTTTTTGTACAATCATCAAATATGTAATATCCTGCATATAGGACAATGGTAAAATATGGGTTAAGTGAAATATTGGTTGAAACCTTTACGACCATTTTATTAGAAAGACGAAAATCATTAAAAACTGCGTGATATTTTTGCTGATATATTGAGAGAGAATCAGGTTATTGTTTTTATTGAAATTTTGTATGTGGGTTCCATATCGCATGAGACTGAAAAATGTATGACTATAAATCGTATTTTTGCAGCGTTATTAGAGAAGTATTACAGCGGTGTCGTTCTCTCTGTTGTTTGCTGTTAATCTACTCGTAACTTAACTGGCATCGGATACTTCGGCTAGTTCTTTTATATTTTAAATGCACTGACTATGGTAATTTTTACCTTTTTCTTGCACTAATTGTATCTGTGTCTATACTCATGGAGAATTTTTAAGGGAAACTGGCAATTATTTACATCACATGTACAAAGAAATTCTTAAAACCAACTTTTTCTATACCATACCCAAATTACCATTTTTCGACTGGGAATTATCGGTGTTCAATGGTTTCACTCAGTTGCATGGCTTTAAATTTTATTTTTACACCTTACTTTAAATCCTAGTATACTTTTTTTTAATTCTAGCATATAGATTTAACTTGTTTATTTGAGTCTAATACAGTACCAACTTAATTCACTATCCAACCGCAATGTCTTTCATTTACATTCTATTTTATAATACTGCAATTTTTCTTAATTAAAAAAGCGACTATTTAATTATTAGTCATTTCAAAATAGAACTAGCATATTTTCAAAAACACGTCCGTCTTCTGTTCAAAACACCCCTTAACCTATAATTAATTTTGGGATACAAAAGAGATCCTTATCATAGACTGCTCATTTGTAAACATCTTTTGACATTTCAGGTTTTTGGAATTTCTTTCACAAGTATTTCAATGTCATCAGAAAATATACCCGATATTTTGACTCAGTTTAAAGGCGACATACAGTACAAGGATTTTTTTAGTTAAATTTATAATGCAAATAAACGCGTTTTGTGATAAATATGGTTAAACATATATTACATTTTAATCCCACATAAGACTTGATTTTCATTAATATGTAGATTTCCTATTGATTTATTTGATCATACACTACATAAAATTTTTATTTTACAAATTCAGCTTTTAACGAAATACCCAAATAAAAACTGCGATACACCTGGTCTTTTTAAGAAAAGGATATTTGATATACTTCTGAAAATATTCTAATAATTCTTTTATTAGCTAATATAGTATTTTCTTATGAACGAAAGATTGTCAAAAACATGACACACTGAACCGAAGAAAGACAGAGATATTTTTACACCAATCTACATCATATTTTATGTATTCAAAGAACACAGCTAAGTCTTGATCCTTCTGTGTGTGTTAGAGGAAATCGACTCAGTTACGAGCATAGCATTAAGACGTGTGATTTTAGTAGACTTACATGCATTAACAGGGTCAATTACTCTTCGTATTTGCAAGGTTCGTGTGAGATGCTGTTCCATTCGAATGTGGTGTAACGAATCACTTTTTCTTTTAAACACTTCTGAACATTGGGTACAGTATCTGCGATGAGAAGTTTCTTGTTGTTTCAAAGCACCATCATTAGTAAATCCTTCTGGACAACTACTATACTTAAAAAAATTCATGAGATTTCATGTATCTCTTCAAATCCTTTTTACTTGGAAAAACATCCGAAGATTCATTATAACTTCTGAGATGTGAAGCTTTATGCTGCTTTAAATTATCATGTTCACAAAAGATCTTTAAGCATAACTTTGAACTTGAGACTTGCAATTCTCTTCCGTTTCTCGATATTCTGGTCACACGTAACACATCCAACTTCAGTACTACGGTTTACCGTAAACCTTCATCGGTTTGCCTTCCACCACACTTTAAATCAGGTCATCCGACTAAACAAAAGTTAGCTTCATTTTATTCCTATGTTTTCCTTGCTCTTCAAGTTTGCTCCTCCAAACTAGCCCTTGATGAAGAACTAAATTATTTAAA